TGTTACACAGAGATACCCTGTCTCGAAAAACAAACAAACAAACAAACCAAAACCAAAACCAAACCACATACACAAACCTGAGGATAGGGACTTGATTTAAATCTGCTAAGACTTAGCAGATTTGATTTCAGGAATGTTAGCTTTCAGCATACCCATAACTTTACTGATACCATCCATTCAGTGCAATGTACAGAGTATTTTGGGAGACAGGATTTCTCTGTGTGTCGAGTTGGCTGTCCTGAACTTGCCTTGGAGACTAGGGTGGCCTCACAGCAACCCACTTGACTTTGCCTCCCTGAATTCTGGGATCAAAGGTGTGCACCACTACGCCCAGCTCTGTACTGTGCATCTTTACCTAGAAAGAGAATTCAAAAGTTAGGGGAAATATTCAATTATTTTACTTAAAATTGTTTTATTTCATTAATTATTTAAAGATACATAAGATTAATTATTCTGAACAAGAACCTTCTAGAAACCCTGTAATAAACAAGGTACTGAAACTACTGTAATACCCTGGGAGGTTTATTTTCCTCTTCCTCTCCCTACCTCTTTCCAACCTCCATCTTGTTTCTTTCACTGGCCACGATCCACCAGTTTATTTCATAACTGATGAAGTAGGCCGTGTATACTCTGCAGTTTGAAAAACACTATTCAGGACTCTAAGTTCCTTGAGGGCAGTGACTGTGTCATCTTCATCCTCCCAGACCCTGGCACTCTTCCTGGCTCCTCGTAACTTCTGAGTAAATGTTTTCTGAATGAATAGGCCTCAGTTAAAACAGATCGGCAGCCTCTGGGATTCCGGAAGGGCCAAGAGAGGTAAATAATTTATCACAGGCTTCCCAAGAGCTCCTGCCATCCTCTAGACACTGGGGCCATTGTGGATGTGCCCTGCCTTCTCTTCCCAACCCCCAGCTTTCAGGACAGAGGGCAGAAGGTTTAATGGAGTTCAGAAATTTCCCAAGGCAAAGACATACTCATCAGGTTCTCGGGTGGGTGTCTGTCAAGAGAAATGATTTTTATAAAGAATGGTGGAAGAAAAACATAATTCTTAAAAGAGCACTTTATTTCATTTCTTATATATATAACTTAGTCCTCATGCCTGACTCCTTTTGCACCTTCTAACACTATTCTGCTGGGTTTTAGCCCATGTGTTAGACCCTGACCAGTTCTGACTTTTTTCAAACACTATAAATCTTCATTAGACTATGCCCATGCCAGGATTTTTCCATTTGGATGTAGAAAAAAAATCCCCAGGCCCCCCAAAACCCTGTGGCTTGTTTCCTGTCCAGCTGGCTTGCTGTTCCTTGGGGTTTTATTCCCGTCATCAAAGAGGCTCGACAGACCAAGAGCAGACCTCTGGCTCACCCTGAACTTACACGTACTGTCTCCAAGTCAGAGTAAGAAAGAGAGAGAGAGAGAGAGAGAGAGAGAGAGAGAGAGAGAAAGAAAGAAAGAAAGAGAAAGAAAGAAAGAAAGAAAGAAAGAAAGAAAGAAAGAAAGAAAGAAAGAAGAAAGAAGGAAGCACTTTCCTGACTGAAAAGCCAGTGCAGAGAAAACCCAACTCTCTGATTCCACATGGGCCTGTTCTGTGGCTTTCCTAGAGGGTGGAGCCAGGAATGGTGGACTGCCAGCCAGAATCACTCTCTGAGTTCCTCAGAGTCAGTGTGGGTTCTGTTGTGACTCTGAGTCTCTGTGCCCAGGTTCTAAAGTGGCAGTGTGTGAAGTAGCCTCCATAAATTTTGGTTGCAACAAGCTAGCTCAGAGCCATGGAGAAGCCGGAGCAGTGTCCCAGGAAGCCAGCACATTTGGCAGCCAGTGTCTGCTTATGAAACATGCAGGGGGTTCTGTTCATTTAAGAACGTTTAAAAGGGTGTTAGCTGCTGCATGCAGCACTTGGGAAGCCCAGGCATGACGGATCACTACAAGTTCTAGGCCAGTCGGAGCTACGTACTGAACCTTGGCTTAATAAAAAACAAAAAACAAAAACAAAAAAAAAAAAAAAAAAACAGGTTTTACAGTGGTACAGGTCTATAATCTCAATATTTGGGCAGTGGAAACAGGAAGATCAGGAATTCAAAATCATCCTCTGATACATAGGAAGTTCAAGGCCAGGTTGGGCTGTGTGACACCCAATCAATAATAATAATTAATAATAATATAATAATGCAAAAAGACATTAACTTAGCTAAAAATGTCATTGTAAGAGCCTATTACTGAGTTCAAAAAGCAAACCAATTTATCACAAGCTTCCTTTATGGCTGTGTCCAGAAAGCATGGAGGTAAGAGGCTGTGGCTGTGCAGTGCCACGTGGCATGTAGCAGCCAGCAGGAGCTTAGAAAAAGTTACCCATTCAAAGCAACTCGTCTGCTTTCCCGCACACGCCAGGCTCCTTATGATACAAAAATCCTTCCACATTTACTGTGATATCTCAGACGCCCTCTGCTCAACTTTGTCCATCTGAATTCTTGCCACCTTACCCTGCCCAAGTTTATTTATGAAGACTGAGATTGTAGTTCAGTGGTAGGGCACTCACCTCTCGTGCTTGAGGTCCTAGGTTCAATCCCCAAAAAGACAAGACAAAATAAAACGACAGTAAAGTGCACTGACGTTCATAGAGTCCCTTGCCATTTCTTCTGTCTACCCTAGTATGTTTTCCCTCCTCATTCCTTGAGTCTTATTCTATGGTCTCTTTGTGCTCAGAGTCCTAATGCCATCCTTTTGTCTCTTCTCCCCAGCCTCAGTGCAAAGCTACTGGGGCCATTTGCTCAGCCCTGTGGTTCATTGATTTTTTTTTTTTTTATTTTTTTAATCTTTATTTTTTTGCTTCAAGGTTTGGCTGCCTATTTTCTGACTTTCTTCACTGAGTAGTCTTTTGTCAAGGTAAACCCCAGCTGTTAAACACTGTGTGGAAGGAAGGGCAACAACAGGAAGTATGACTGAGAAACTGGAGGAAAACAAGATGAAGGCAAAAGATGGGCAAGACTAAGAAAGAAAACAAGGTGCTAGGGTGATGGTTCAGTTGGTTAGCACAGTGCTTGCCTCTCAAGCCTGAGGGTCTGAGTTCAGGACCCAGAACCCATGTAAACGCCAACCGTGGCGGTGCATGTCTGGAATCCCAGTGCTGGGGAAGCAGAGACAAGGCTCCCTTTCACTTGCTGGCCAGGTGGTCTAGTCCAGGTTCAGTGACTTCCCAATCTCAAAACACGTGCTAGAGAGCCAGAGGGATGGCTCAGCAGGTAGGTATCATGACATAAGCCTGGTGACAAGAGTTCAGTCCCCAGGACCCACAGAGGGGGAAGGAGAACACCAACTCTACAGCATCGTCCTCTGACCTCCTCATGTGTACTGTGGCATATGTGCGCAGCATGCACATGAACAACACACACACTGATATTTTTATTTTACTTTCTTAAATAATAATAAGGGGAACTGGAGAGATGGCTGAGTGGGTGAAGGCACTTATCTGATCACCCCCACATCACGTAAGCACAGTACTTCTAAGCTGAAAATGAAAGTAGAGAAAGTAGTGGAGAAAGATTTCTGCCATCGGCCTCTGGCCTTCTGCACATGTCCGTCTATGGTGATGGTACTTCTTTCATGTTTGCGTGTGCCAGCCTACGGAAATGGGCAGCTGAGGATGGAGGTAGAAGCAGACTGTAGAGAGCTGGTGGCCGCACATGTTCAGAGATGAGAAGGTTGAGCCAGAACTCCACCACTCACAACACTGGTGCCATCCCCAGTCTTAGGTTAGGAGTCGGAGAGGACAAGGTTAAGTCCCGCTGGGGTGTCTGTACCTGCCAAGCCTTGGATACCATTTCCAGTTCAGTCTGACACCGTGATGATCCGGTGACTCACAGGGAGACAGTAAGGTCAGTGCCACGTTACAGACCAAGAGTCTGCTCAGGTCACAGAAATGACAAGTCACAAAGACCATGTGTCAGACTTCAGTGTGCCTACAGTTTTACCATAGGTGCCAGGTCCTTAGCACACTGCCTGGGCCTATTGTCAGGCTGCACTGGGGTGCAGAGCCAGGGCTCCTCAAGCACTGTTATAACAAGAAAGTCTAAGCTTCTTGCTGGTTCTGCCATGTGGGTCCAAGGGTAAAAGGCGCCAGTCATTGAAAGAAGAAGAAAATCTCTTATCTTAAGAGAAGGACACCAGCTCCAGCATGTGTTAATCTGTGTTGTTCAGACACTGTTTTCAGTCGGTGGGTTTTGTTTTTCATTGTGAACGCAGTCACTTCACCTCAATGTAAAACCCTGAATTTCAGAACCAGTGACTACCATCACCCCATTTCTCCAGGTAAGAGGAGAGTAGGAGATCTTCATAAGGCCTTCTCCTGTTTCCACAGCAGTAGAATAGATGTCGAAATCTTAGTTTATCTGGAGCCCAACATATAGTTTTATCTGCTTGGTCCTCACACAGACTGTGGTAGTTTGAGTAAGAATGGTCCCATGGGCTCATCTAAGTGCCTAACTATCAGGGAGTGACACTGTTTGAGAAGGATTGGAACAATTGGAGGCATGGCTTTGTTGGATTAGCTATAGTCTTGGTGGAGAAGGTGTGTCGCTGGGTGTGGGCTTTGAAGTTTTAAAAGCCCATACAGGGCCCAGTATTTCTCTCTCTTTGCCTTTCAGTCAGGATGTAAAGGTCTCATATCCTGCACCTCTCTGAGTGCTTCCATGTGCTGTGTATGACCATAATGTCTGAACTATAAGTCTGAACTATAAGCTAGCCCCAACTAAATGCTTTCTTTATAAGAGTAGCCATGATCGTGGTGTCTCCTCACAGCAATGGAACAGTGACTGAAACATAGACCTAACTTCTGCCACAGGCTCATGCACTTTTCTTGTTACAGATTGCCGATTCCTACCCACAGTGGGTAGGAATTTTTTAGTGTAATGTAGCTGCCTGAACTTCATGGCATGCCTAGTAGGAAACAGCCATTTTTCTCTTTCCCAAGGCCCAGACAGTTTATTGTTTACACTTTCCTTTTCTAGGCAGAATCCATGCTTGGTGACCAGAGCTGTATGCATTGATATTTTCTTCCTGCTGACTAACTGCCTGGACAGACCTGAAGAAGGCCAGCAGACAGGTATGACTCACAATCTGCCCTGGAACATTGCAGGTAGAATTTTGGGCAGCTCTACAGCACACTTACCCACAGCTAAGTGTGTGAGACTGACCAACAGAATCCGTGTGCACCTTCCTAGAAGTCTCAAGGAAATCTGCCCTGTCTGCTTGGAACTTGACCATTAAATATGTTCTATTCGGTCATCCAGAGGAGTGTGAACTCTACTTAGATACCCTCTGTTTTCAAGACCTTGACTTTTTGCCATTTTACACTTTTCTTTGAAAGTATCATTTTTCCGTAATGGTTTGTCCTGTTCCATCCTGTAGAGATAGCTGAACTGGCTCATTTATGGTGGATATTTGAGTCCCTGTTCTCATTCTGCCTTCACCAGTTTTTTTCAGTGTTCCTCCCTCAGGCTCTGACTTCATACATGTCTCTAGGCCATGTGTGTTTCTGGTTATAAATACACATACAGTTGTTCTATTTTAATCATGAGTCACAAAGTAAATTAAAGAGAGAAGGGCCTCCCAAACAAAAATCATTTGATATGTTCACATAGAAGCCTTGGGAAGTGCAGTACATGAGTTCCAGGTCACAGACTGAAATGGATTTCCACCAATCCAAACTGCAATGCAGGACAGCAAGCCTGCAACTGATTAAAATAAGCCTTTTCTAAACTGACCAGGGCTGTCTAAGGAGGCTGTGAGTACAAAGTCAGGTTCTGAGTACAAAGTACAAGCAGACCAGAGCTTTCCTCCATTGTTTAGCCTGTCCATGATTTGTTGCCTTGTAAATATGTTCAGGTCATCAAAGTCTAGCTCTGTCCACGTGGAGCTCTGTTCCCAAAGTTCAAATTTAAAGTGTTTTGTGGGAGGGGTGTGCATTATTAATCCATAGAGGCCCTGTGGCCATGCAGGAGTGATCAGAACACAGAATCCATCCACATCTAGGCATATAGGATCATATTGCTTTATAGGAACCACATCCTGGTTTAGCCAGGTATTGTGTCCCATACCTGCAATCTCAGCACTGGAAAGGTAGAGACAGGAAGATCAGGAGTTCAAAGCTAGCCCCTGCAACCTGTTGAGTTCTAAGCCAGCCTCGGTTACATCCTATCTCAAAAGATAGATAGATAGATAGATAGATAGATAGATAGATAGATAGATAGATAGATAGATAGATAGATAGATAGATAGATAGACAGAGATAGAATCCTAACTTGTACTTCTCATCTCAACATAATTATGAAAATTGTCCCCCTTATATTCTTCAGAGTATCCAGGTTTGTATAATAAAATATAGGTCATTCTAGCTATAAGGAACCTCTGTTTTGCATCCTTTTATTTTATACTTGAGTTAGCTGAGGTCTAGAGATTATAGAAAGAATGTAAATCAGATACTACCAAATAAGCTGACCTAGTCTTTTACCTTTCCATATCTCATCCCTTAATTTCATATTTCATTCTGCCAATGTGTTTAAAAGGCCCGCTTACTAACCTCTTCTCCAGGATACTGGCAAAGTTGTGTGTTTACTGAAATCATTGTTCTCTATCTATATGGAACCATGTTACCAAACTCAAACCACCTTAAAGTGCTTTGCTGGGGCCAAGGACATATGAAACCACCTCACCCAGACATGCATTGTGTTTAGTCTGGTACAAAACAGTCAGTCCTTGGATGTCGTAATATACCTTTGCTTCCCCAACTTCTTGCTTATCCTTTGTTATAAACTCCTTGAAGATGGCTTTGGAGTTTTTAATCATTCTGTCCTTCAAATTCTTACTATTAACTAGAACATATGCCACAATTAAATGTGCCCTGTCTTGAGTAACATAACAGCACTTCCCTTCTCCACACACTGCTCCTCTTAACCTGTCTTCAAGGGTAAGATGTGGGGACAGAGAACTCTCCTCTTCTCTAGTGTGACAGCCACAGCTCTAAGTGTGCTGTACTCGCATTACCCAGTGAGGCGGAAGCTAGCCACAGGTGGACTTCGAGCATTTGCTGTTTGTAGCTGCTCCAAACTGAGATGTTCTGTAGATATAAAATGCACAGCAGGTTTCAGAGAAGCTCAGCACTGGGGATGCTGAAGCAGAAGGATGGCACATGTAAAGCCTAGGCTACACGTCGAAACGCTGGCTCTGAAATTCTTCAATAAGCAGGACTGGTAAATGCTCAGAGAATACAGATGCTTGCTGCCAACCAAGACCAATCCCCAGAGACCACGTGGTGGAAGCAGAAAACCAACCTCCAAAAGCGTCTTCTGACAGCCATACATTCTCCATAGCACACTCATGCGCACACACATACACAATTAGTTAATTAAAATAGAGTTCCAATGTTAAAACTAGAGAATTTTTTTTAATTTTTATACTGATTACTTGCTGGAAATGTAATATTTTGACATCATTAATTTTTTTAATGTTCTATTGAACTTAATTTTATGACTTTCCTCTACTTCTTAGTCAAAATGTGAGGAGCTGGCATAAAGCCCAGTGACACGTGGCATGCCTGGCATGTGCAAAGGTCCTGAGCTCAATCCCGGCGGCACAAAACAACTGAGATACAACTACTAAGCCAAGTATAATGGCTCACAGCTGTAACTGGTTACCTGGGAAACCAAAACTGGAGAACCTGCTCTACATAGCAAGTTCCAGGCCAGCCAAGGCCGTATACGTATAGTATGACCTTGTCTCAAGAAAAAAAAAAAAAAATTTTTTTTTTTTTTACTACTAAAATAAGGGGGAAGGGGACTGTCATTGAGTACATGTACTTAACTTTGTCATGGAGTGATGTGAGAGGGAAAGTAGGGGGTAGGAAGTTTTAAATTCCATACATTGTTTATATCATATTGAACAGCAATGATTTTTGTCCAAACCTTTGGGAATTGGCAACATAGGCCCCAATATATATGATGTATGTGTATATGACATACCTACACATATATGTGTGTATACATATATATGAATGCTATATTCATAGAACATGCCCCTGTAACAGTAATTATACATTTCCCTCCTGTGAAGATGACCTGGGTTTCTAGGACTAACCAAATGTCAAGCAAATGGTGATCTTGTGGTAGCTCTGCAGGGTAAAACAGAGCTTGCAACAGTGAGATCTGCTTCAGGGATTGTTTACAGCTCCAGTGACGTCTGAGCACTAGGCAAATCTGTCACCAAAGAAGCAGTCCCTCACTAGACTGCGTAGATTCAGTATGTTTCAGAATCATGCCATCCTATCGGATTCCTCTTGTAGGCCCCCAGGGAGAATGGACTATGGCTTAGGCTCTTGTCACCTGGCTACGCACCAGAGTAGGCCCTCAAGAAACGGGTTGATTATCAACTGATTGATTGAAATACAGTTTTCATCAGTTCTTAAAATGGCCCATTTGTTGTCAGGGTATAGTCTTGCCGGATGTGATGGCACACTTGTAATCCTAACACTTGGGAGGTGAAGGCAGGAGGATCAGGAGTTCAAGGTTATCCTCAGCTACATAATAAGTATGAGGCCAGCCTGAGCTGCACAGACCCTGTCTCAAACCTTCCTCCCAAAAGGTACAGTCTTGCTTAATTTAATTCATCAGTCTGAATTGATTTCCTGAATTCGAATGTGTTGTTTATGTGTGTATATGATTATAACCATGATGTGTCCGCATTATTACCTCACAAAGCTCAGAGTGAGTACACCACATAGACTCTGAGGCCTGATCCAAGATTTGAATCCTACTTCTGCCTTTCCTATTTCTTTCTCTTTCTTTCTTTCTTTCTTTCTATCTTTCTTTCTTTCTTTCTTTCTTTCTCTCTCTCTCTCTCTCTCTCTCTTTCTTTCTTTCTTTCTTTATTCTTGTGACCTTAGCACAATACTTAACTTCTTTGAGACACCTTTCTCAATTGTAAATGAGAATAATAAAATAGTCTATGGTGCCAACGAGAAAATTGACCCTGGTAACGAGTTCCATTTCCAGAAATGACATGATGGAAGGAGAGCACTGATTCCCCACAAGTTATCCTCTTCCCTCGACACAAGTGGCTATGGCACACACATCCCAATAAAGAAATGTAAAATAGTTAAGTTAAAAAAAATCAAATGGGCTTTGCAGACGCCGCTGTCCCCTGTCGTCTATTGCTGCAGCCATGGTCAACCCCACCGTGTTCTTCAACATCGAGGCCGATGGCCAGTCCTTGGGCCGTGTCTCCTTCGAGCTATTTGCAGACAAAGTTCCAAAGACAGCAGAAAACTTTCGTGCTCTGAGCACTGGAGAGAAGGGATTTGGATATAAGGGTTCCTCCTTTCACAGAGTTATTCCAGGATTCATGTGCCAGGGTGGTGACTTCACACGCCATAATGGCACTGGTGGCAGGTCCATCTATGGGGAGAAATTTGAGGATGAGAACTTCATCCTGAAGCATACAGGTCCTGGCATCTTGTCCATGTTTAGTCCAGCAAATGCTGGACTAAACACAAATGGTTCCCAGTTTTTTATCTGCCCTGCCAAGACTGAGTGGCTGGATGGCAAGCATGTGGTCTTTGGGAAGGTGAAAGATGGCATGAACATTGTGAAAGCCATGGAGTGTTTTGGGTCCAGGAATGGCAAGACCAGCAAGAAGATCACAATTTCCGACTGTGGACAACTCTAAACTAATTCTTTTGACTTGCGGGCATCTTACCCACCAAACCATTCCTTCTGTAGCTCAGGAGAGCACCCCAATCCCATTTGCTCAAAGTACCCTGTGATCTCTGCTCTCCCTGAAGTTCTTTGGGTTCCATATTTTCCTCATTCCCCTCCAAGTCTAGTTGGATTGCAGAGCTAAGTTTATGATTATTAATATAAAGTAAATAAGAAAAAAAATCAAATGAATTTTTTCAAAGAATCTGTGCCCTAGAGTAGTAGGCAATTATACGTGCAAGCCTCATGCAGAGCATTTGCTTCATGTAACGCAGTTTAAATGCCCAGTACATACTAGTTACTATGGATTTCGTGGTGTCTATCATCATCTTCCTCTGGAAGCCTGTATCCTGCC